ATTGATCAAAGAGTCCGACATTTCCGGGCGCGTCCTCCCGGTCCCCAAACAGGAACCCAAACGCTCCTAATCTGTAATTAGTGGACACAACCACCACATCATATGCGGCCAAATCTATGCCATTATAAGGAGGCATTAGAAATATGGATCCAGTAGTCAGTCCCCCGCCATGAATCCAAAACATGACTGGTTTAAGTGCCGGTGCTTCCGGTGACTCATCATTGTTTCCCACATTAGGTGTCCATACGTTTAGTACCAAACAGTCCTCACTTGTGGTCAGATTACTACCGGTGCCCGGTTGTATACATGAGTTTCCCGGTTTTGTACCGTCTATTATATCCTAATTATACAGGCATATTAATTAATTCATCAATATGCAACTGATCAGTTTAATAATAAATAATAATGGCAATTGGTGATCAGTTGTAAATTTAAATTATATGAAACTTACTTTTATAGGCGTTTGTAATGGCAGTGGTTTTGCAAACCTTAGGCCTCCGACGGGTGGCTCAGCGTATGGTATGTTTAAAAACTGGTCAATACTTTTATTTTGAGCGACGAGTGTCTGACCCCTAACTACACCCGATGTTGTATTCACATCAATACAGTCTATTACTGAAAGGTTAATCACAATTAACACAACAAAAAATAAAAATAAATTATATTTTATAAACATGTTTACGATATTAATTCATTAATGCTCGTAGAAATGAGTTTTCATTAAAAATTAAATGTTAAATGCTTCACGTATTTATAGATTGCCAAGGCACTATCTTTAATAATTATCAAAATCAATATTGATAACAGTGTACAGTGTATAATATAGACTATAATTAATAGTCGACAATGGCAATTATGAAAACATAACTTATCTATATAGCAAACAGATAATAATTAAGTAGTTCACCCGTCACATTTCACACAAGCACATTTCAAGCAAGTTCACTTGACTCGGAGTGTTCACTATTATTCACTACATTAATAACTCTTAACATGTTGTGTAAATCGATGAAAAGTATTTTGTAAACAATTTAAATCAAATATACTCGGAAGTGATGAAATTTTATTAAAAATAAATTACTTCTAAACTAAATTATATTGTAATTTTAATAACATTATTTGTATAATTGTGCAATTGCATAACAAAATAATAATAGTGTAGACAAAATTCTTGATTCAATTATTACAATCATATTTTAAGCAAATCTAATTACTTAATCAATCTATTTTATAATATTATTTTTTGAAATAATATATATCATATAATCGAGCTATTAAAATAATTTTTAAAAATGATTCACATTTAATAATTAGGATAAAACAAGTTTAATCTAACAATTAAGCAATTTTCTCAATTCCGACAAAAATACGCTTCGGGATCACCATTTTAACAGATCGTTGATATTGCAACGGGACGTCCGTTTTGGGAGGCCTGAAAAACTGTACTTCAACACTATATGAGCCAAACATATCTTGATTGTTAACACCGCAAATCGCATACCAACGCAATTACGAGGGCCGCTCCCAAAGGGCAGGTATGTGTAGGGCTTAATGAGGTGCTTATTCTCGGGCATAAATCTATCGGGCTCATACTTAAAAGCATCCGGATAATTCTCATCGGACATGTGTATGGCGCAGAAGGGGATCTCCATCTGTTGCCCGGCCTTCAAAGTAATACCCGTATCGCCTAACTTATAGTCAACGGATGGGTATCTATACAGAGGCATAGGTGAGACGTGTATGCGCAGGGTCTCCGACATGACGGCATCCAAATAGGGTAGTCGCGACAACACGTCGTACTCTATCTCACCGGCGGTGGCGCTGATAGCGCCTGTAATCTAGGCGGCGCTGACATTCAGGGTTTAGGGCGAACTCGTATGCCGTGAGCGCGAGGGTCGCCGGCGATGCCGTAACCCCTGACGACATGAATACGAAGCCCTGGGCCACGATCTCGTCCTCCGTCAGCCGTTTGTCCCTAATCTTAATGGCCGTCACTTTCCGCTCGACGGCTAACGATTCCTCGCCTTTTGAAAGGATTTTATTTTATGTTAGATTTGATAGTTTTAACATTATTTTTGTAAAAATATTTAAATTCATTTTTCAATGTTGTAGAAGGTTCTACCTTGATATCTAGTTATGTTTTTAATATTGCCAGAATAACACTAGATTAGTTTTACAAATATATTTTCAATTTGGTAAATAAGCTGTATTCATATGATATCTTAAAATATAAAATTACAAGTTTTCATATTAGAATATTAGAAACTAGATCATTGAGTATTTTTGTATATTTTCAATCATAATTAATTAGATTAACTTAAGCTAAGCTTACACCTAAAACAAATTAAAACTACCTAAATATCTATCATGTACCTTGATTAGCATGATGAATTTCACTATTATCCTTATCCCCTGAATGGTGACATTATGATCGCCAGGCTTTCTATCGGTTACCTCAGCATCCATAAGCATCTGCACAAAATCTTGATGTTTCTGACCCGGATTATCGCGCCTTTCCCTCAATAGGTGGGGGATGTAGTCCTCGAAGAATTTGTTAGCTTTCTTATCGGAAAAATCAAGAAATTTAATGACAAAATTAGGCAACACTAGTGACGCCACCTCTCTCCAGCCATTAAACCTAAACTTTTCTCTCGCATGGATAACAAACGGGTGTTCATTAGAAGTGTTGCTATCTGTGGGCGATTTTTATCAATAATTGATAATTTTTTTGTTATATTTTTATAATACTTATAATAGTATTTTACAAATAAGCGTATGTCGATATCAATACTATGATAGCTAAAACTATTAATTCGTTAATCATAATTAAAAGTAATATTATAATTGCACTAAGTATTAGTTCATGTACATTTTAGCAAATAAGTAGACAAATATTGTTTCAGCAGTAATAGACTTATTAAAGTAGGTTAATTTGTCCTACGTTGATTTGACCTACAATATACGTAGTTGTAGTTAGACCGGGGTTTTGCATATTTACCCCAAGACTCAACTATAGGACGGTATTGGGATTGAAGTTTAGTTTTTGCATTTTTACCAAACTCTTAGATATAATGCAAACACCGATTTGAATGCAAACACCGTCGAAGAATTGTGTCATGGGGTAAATATTCAAAAAACCGGGTATAACTACAACAACGTATATTCTAGGTCAAATAAACAACTCCCAGTGTATATTTGTACAATCATCATGATATTGTAAACTTGAGAAAGTTATATTAAAATATATCGAAAGTCCTAAATGCACTATTACAATCCATTTTTAACATATTTTAAAAGAAGATTGTCAGGATCTGGCTATGCTGGCAATCGGGATTTTTTGGTTGGATATGAAAGTTCATTTAATGCTGAGTCCGATTATGGAATTTATATTGTCCTATGACCTCTGGTTC